TACCATACTTTGGTTGCAATAAGTATATGCCTTCTTGAGACCTAGCAACTTCGATTCCCAGGAAGTATTTGAGTCCTCCTAGATCTTTCATCTTGAACTCGGAGGACAAGTACCCCTGTAACTGTTCAATCTCATTTGTATCATCACCTGTAACAATCATATCATCCATATATATAATGAGCAAAGTCACCTTACCATTCTTACGCTTGATGAATAAGGTATGATCTGAATTTCCTTGTCAATATCCATACTTTTTAATGGCTTGAGAAAATCGCCCAAACCATGCTCTTAGTGACTGTTTCAAACCATATAATGCCTTCTAAAGTTTGCATACTTTCCCATTGGAGTTTTCAATGCTGTAGCCTGGTGGAAAATCTATGTATACCTTTTCCTCTACATCCCTGTGTAAAAAGACACTTTTTACATCAAACTATCTTAGAGGCTAATCAAGATTAGCAGCAAGAGATAACAAAACTCTAATGGTATTCATTTTTTGCAACTAGAGCAAAAGTTTCCTGATAGTCAACACCAAAGGTATGAGTATATCCTTTGGCTACTAATCTTACCTTGTATTTGTCAATCGCTCCATCCGCCTTATATTTGATGGTAAACACCCATTTGCACCCCACTGATTTCTTACCGTTGGAAAGTGTAACCACTCTCCATGTCTTATTTTTCTGTAATGCCTCTATCTCAATTTGCATCACCTCTATCCACTTTGGATCTCTCAAGGCTTCTTCTACCCTGGTAGGAATTTTAATATTTTCCATTTGTTGAACAAGTGCACAGTATTTTGGCGAAAGTCGATGAGTGGAGACATAGTTAGCAGTTGAATATTGCACCTTCCCTTCTGGGGAGTACTTGTCTGGTGGTTTTTTGTGATTTTGTCCAAGAGGTAACACATAAACTGATTTAGTAGGTTTTGAGTGAGTTACCTCGGGAAGGATATTCGTATGACTAATGTGTACTTGAGAAAGTTGAGGGGACCGTTGTTATCATTGTAAGGCACACTAAGTCTGGCCTTATCCCTTGCAGCATGCCCACGTAGGCAAACACCAAACAAAATTTCCTTTTATAGCCCGACAACAGCTAGCCCATTTGCTGCCATTTCGGCCTGGTCATCTAGCCCATTTGGGCTTTCATTGTACTCGATGCTGTCACAATTTTTCTACCGCCTCACGTCCATTTGGGCTTTCTATTCCCAAGTTGTTATCATGCCCATTTGGGCCACCTGCAGCTTGATAGTCATCACGCTCAGTTGGGCCACTTGCAGCTCCATCATAGTCTAAGTTATTAGGAATAGCAAGGCTAGTTGGGTCGACATCCATCTACCCATAATCTTCATCTTCAGTTGTCTCCCCTTGAAGAGTATGGCTGGAGGGGAAAAAAATTTGTCTTCCGAGAAGGTCACGTCCATGATGACGTATACATGTTGAGTAGGGGGATGATAACATATATACCCCTTTTGTTGAGGGCTAAAGCCAATGAAAACACATCGTACTGCACATGGATCAAGCTTGCTCCGTTGATTTTTATGAAGATGGAGGTAAGTTACACACCCAAAAACTCGGGGTTTGAGATGAAGGGTGGAAGGGAAAGAGACATGATTAGCAAGCACATCCAAGGGAGTTTGAAAAGAGAGAACTCGCGATGGCATTCGAATCATGAGATAAACGACTTCGGTCATTGCATCGGCCCAATATGTTTTGGGTGCATATGCACCAATTAGAAGTGCACATGTAATCTCAATTAAATGTCTATTTTTCCGTTCAGCTACTCCATTTTGTTGTGGGGTTTGAGGACACATAGTCTCATGGAGAATACCTTTGTCTTTGAAGAATTGGGACATGTCCTGATTGAGATATTCGCCACCATTGTTAAAGCGAAGAACCCTAACAAGAAACGAATATTGTGTGTAGACCATGTGATAAAATGTTTTGAAGATTTTGCCCATATCACTCTTATTTTTAATGAGATACGACTAAGTCATTCTAGTGCAATTGTCAACAAATGTGACAAACCAACGAATTCCATACCGAGAAGTAACCGGAGATGGTCCACACACATCCGAATGAATTAACTCAAAAGGAACTGTTCTTTTAATAAAACTTAGGGAATACAAAGCACGATCACTTTTAGATAATGCACATACATTACACTTAAGGCAGGAATCTGAAATATTACCAAATAATGATGGAAGTAATTTCCACAAATATCGAAGGCATGACCAAGATGACGATGCCACAACTAAATAGTCTTCAACTTTTTACTATCCTGACTTTGAACTTGATGAGCACGCCCTTGTGCAACATCGTTAACATAGTACAACCTCTCCTCTTAGTACCACGCCCAATGATCGCCTAAGTTTGGATATCTTGAAGTAAACAAAATAAAGAAAACATTAGCACAACGCAGTCTAATTGTTCGGTGACTTGTCCCACATATAATAAATTACTAGATAGTGTGGGAACAAGTAGACAATTGTGTAGGGAGAGAGTCAGAGTAAGTGCAATTGATCCGGCTCTTGTAACTGGAGCAACTCCTCCATTGGCAATAACTATACTATTTCGTGAAGGCGATGTTATGAAATTAAAGAAAGTATGATCATAAGTCATTTGATCTGTACCTCCGAAGTTAATAATCCAACATGTATCATGATCAATGGACGCAATTAGGGAAATGCATGTGTTACTTGGATCTTCAGACACCCCGTTCAAAGTAATCATATTTAAGAGAGAGAGTTGTAGGCCCAGTTCATCTGGGTCGGCTTCCTTTTTTTTCCCGCTGGTAGGCAGGTTGGGCCCAAATCGCTGGCAGCATGATTTGAGTTGGCACTCGATTTCAATTCCTTTTTCCTGTGGGTTTTGGGCTTTCTTGGCAGGCCCACTTCTAGGTGTATTATTCATCAAAGCTGTTGCTACATCCTTCCCATGTGGACACTGGATTCCTGATGTTGGTACCATGGCTGGGATAACAGCCCTGTCGTTCGCCATAGGTTGTGGCTTTGTCTTGGCAGTCGGTGATTGTTTTTTGGTTAGTGATTTTGGCAACAAGTCGAAGAACTCTCGGCATTCTGCAGTCGACTGGGCAGCCAGCAAGAAAAAAAAAAATTTCACGCTGGCAATAACTGAGATTAAAGTTGAGACAAAGATAGGCCAAAACCTGCTCTGGTACTAAGATGAAATTTGTATTTAGGGTTTAATTCTTTGTTGCTTGTTATTCTTCTCTCTCAGAGGATATATATTTATACACACCACATATCCTGCGGACAATTAAAGGAATGAATCCTAACCAACTAGGAAATACAATAAATCCATAATTACATTTCTAATCAAATATGGACTCACACCCCAACACCATGTTGGATCATTTGACCCACACTCAGCAAGTTTTCATCTCAACTAAGGGCCAACATTACCTCCTTAATGTGTCTTGTTCCATTTTTAGCATCAATCACTAAAACTAAAGTACCTTTCCATGTGGCTTGAACAATTTAACATTACCCATGTTGATCCTAGTAATCATAGTCTTGTCCACATTTACAAGTAATGATTCATGTGAAGTCATGTGGTTATTGCAACCACTATCAATGAACCAAACATGTTCATTTCTGACCATAGTTGCAGAATTGCATGCAAAGAACATTGAACTTTCCTCCTCAACTCTCTTGGCATAATAAGCATGTTGAATGATTTTACTCATGCAATCCTTAGCAATGTGACCAAATTTGCCACACTTGTAGCACTTTGGTGTTCTCTTGAACTATCATTCACCATATTAAAGATTTCTGCAAGTTTTACAACCTTCTTTTGAATTGTCCTTATTGCCATTACACTTCACTACTGCACCAAATTTCTCTCATGGTTTACAAACCCTTTTTCTTTTTATTCTTCCAAAACTTCATATTCTTGGAATTACTAGTACGTGAGTTATTTCTAGGTTACATACTAAGATTATTGAATGCTCTCTCGGTGACATCTCCACCCTCAATATGTCTAATCAGTCTTTGTTCAAATCCCTTAAGCGTAGCAACTACCTCAGTGGGATCAAAATCACTAATTTTCTTGGTTCCCTCAATTACAGATACAATGTTATCATATGATGGGGTAAACTATCTGATTAATCAATCCAAAAATCTAGTCAAGTAATTAGACAATACTTCACCATTTATCATTCTAGCATATTACGAATACCTCGAAGTTATACTGTCATAACTTGTAAATCACCCTTGTACTCCTGATTCAAGGTATCCCAAGTTGCTTTGACTGTCTCTTGATTTGCAATCTGAGGAAAGATCTCGTCAGCATTTGCCCCTTAGATCAACCCCAAGGCACTTGCATCATGAGCAATTAGATCCTGAGCAACGACTTGTTGCTTCGAAATCGGATGGAAGTTCAGAACCTTCATCCACGAATTTCCAAAGGTTAGGATACTTGAAATCTCTTCATTCTGATACACCAGAAATCGGAGTTAACTCCAGTGAAGATTGGAGCTTGAAGCTCACCTCAAGATCTAGCCATCTCGTTCTTTGATTCGACTGAGTTCTTCGTTGTAAATCCAGAAAATTTCTTTACAGTTCTCATCCCTTGATTCAAAATCAAACCAAGCTCTAATACCAAGTTAGTATTTGTAGTTCTTTTAATCTATGGTTAGGATTCTACATTGAACGAATGTAATGGAAAAAAAGATGACAGTGGCAGAGAACAATGGAGGATGTTGCTCCTTCTTTAATTGTTGGATTCAATTACAACATTCACACTGAATTGATGTGTGTGAGCAAAAAGACAAGATGACCGTGATACGACTGCACATGTTTCACTTATTCTACATACACAACTGATATGACAGCTGGCAGACTACAAAGTCATTCAGATATCCTAACTGTATATTGCAACTGGAACTAAACTTTAAAACAAACAGAAATGAAGAACAAGTCTGCAGGAATTGAAGTTTGTTGATCTGCAACAAGTTCACACCTCAACATTAGCTAGGCATCCCCATTATTTGGGTGGAAGTCGACAAAGCGGGCACGTTGCATTCCTTCTAAGCCACTCATCTATGCAATTAGCGTGAAAATAATGGTTGCATTGTGGTATAGTCCTCAGGGTTTCCTTTGGCTGGTACTCACCCAAACATATAGGGCAAGTATTGTCATCAACGAGTTGCTTTGGAAATTCCGACCTCTCACCAAGTTGAATCTTGGGATACGATTCGATGGTCGGACGATCAAGACCAAATAACTCGACAGAAGGTTGTTGATAGGTGATGATAGATAATTCCATATTGGGTTGGCGATGCTCACCACGAGCCCTTTTTTTGTCAAAAATATAAACTGCAAGTGCCCCAATGCTCAATATCCCTAAAATTACTGCGGCCATCGCTATGCAATACCTTACAACTGTTGAGAGAGCTGGGATTAAATTGCAATTAACATTCAATTGCATTCCATTAGAAAACATTTTGGTAATACATGTATATTGTTACGCACAAATATTTTCTTGTTAAACAATACAGCATAACATATATTTTTGGTTACATTAAAGTTAGAGTGTACCTACCTAACTCAAGTGACAATACGACATAATGAGATACAGTACTACAGATTGTAACATACGTTTGTAGAATTTTAGTAGCTTATCTCTAATAAAGGTGATAGTATTTGTTTATGTTGTCAAATTGTGTATTGGTTAAGCTGTTGATTATGTATCCACTAACTCTATTTAGACATATGTACAAATTGATACCAATGCTAATTAACACCTTATAGATAATGCAGGTACATCGTACAATTATATGTGAAACTCAATTGTAATAAACAGTGTTACTAAAAATATCAGTTTTATATGTCTAAGTAGCGTTTTATAAACATACCGGGTTCCGACGGACCAAAGCACCTAGGGCTGGAAATGCTGCCATTATTGGCCCCACAAGCAAGACCCCTTGCTTCACAATAACGACAATCAGGCATAGACCATGTCAACTGAGCTCCTAGGTCAAGATCTAGCCAATCAAATAAGCTTGGAACCAAAGTTGTCGACATTGGAACACAATAACGACGGTACGGTTCGTGATCAGGTGGCGATAAGAAGCTCGTCGGCACAACAATGACCTTGTATGTCTCACTGCTAAGGCAAGAGATCAAGGGCGCAGACCAAATTTTATAATAGAACGAGCAGTTTAGGAATGTGTAGTTTAGAGGGCTGTTCGTGTAATAGAAGGGTGAATTTACAAGATCGAGGTCGTTGTTGAGAAGCCGTTTAGGGAGGCAGTTATCCCCATCGTTGATCGTTACAACTTGGTACAAGTAGTCGATGTTTTGGACAATGAATTCCCTAGAAGATTGCAGAGTGATGATGGTTTGACTGTTGCTGTTGCATGAGAGAGAAAACCCTGGCCACCCACAATTTTTTGAGGCTTGTTGGTAACCTATCCAGCTGAAAGGGAAACGAACCACCGGGCCCTCGTAGGAGCATTTCGATTGACCGCAGGTGGCAGCGCTTTGAGGATGGAAGGAGAGGAATAAGAATAAGAAGAATGTGAAGATTTCAATGGTAGCCATGTAAATGAACACTACCATTACGAATTTATGTTGTAATTTAATGACCTGCGTATGAGTGTGCCAATTAACCCAACAGAACAAACCAAATGAATTAGACTCCACGTTATTTTTTAGAAGCATATAGCAAAGATAGTAACGCAGAATAATCATGTTTCTGTCTCATAGTTGTTTTATACAATTTAGGTGATGACATTAATACCCTGACTGAATAATGGAAATTAAAAACGATAATAATAAAAAACAAGATAGAAATTTTCTTGGAGGCACACATGTATATACGTGCAGACAAATTATTTTATAATCTATTGGCGTTCGATTTTATTAGATATTGAGAGTTAAGCTGAACTAGGGAGTACTCATGATGAGCAAGTCGAAGCAAAAAGTACATTTCTGCATGAATCAGCCGCTGGTATCTTGGATATGCCAGGATGGAAAATGGAGAAAAAGAGGTAATGACCAAGTTTAATTTTAATATTTGGGTAATGACCAACCAAATACATTATATATCTCTTTGAGTCTTTGTCTTGACACCGTTGTAATCACCGTATGCATGACAACTATATATTGATAGAGATTACATTGTAAGGCTAGGATATTGCCACTTGTATGAAGATTAGAAAGTTAGTTAAGTTGTTAGTTTGTTAAGGAGGCTGAGATGTATATAAATACTGAGATATGTACTTGCTTAACAGCTAAGGAAATATACACAGAAGATTACAGTTTTTCTACTTCTCTCTCTAAAAACTCTCGACTCTCTTTCTCTCTTTATTTTTGTTTTTGTTGGTTAACATGGTATCGATCGCCATGAAAGCTCACGCTTGACCTTCGATCCGAGTCTTCCGCAGCTTTGATTCTTCGTCTTCATTGATCTTCTTGTTTCTTGCTCGTGGTTCTTGATCGAATTCACTCCATCTGCTTTGCAATTTAGGGTTTCTCTTCATCCCTAGGGTTCTGCAACTGTGACACTTGCTGCGATTTCGTCTTCTTCAATTCGTGCACTCCAGGTGTTTGATGCTTGTTCTCAGAGACATTTATGCCAAATTCCGAAGTCGTCAACTCACAATATCGTAAAAATGGTAACTACCTCTCAATTACAGCTTCTTCAATCACCGATAACTGCATTGGTGTCATCGATTTCTACATCTGTGAATGTTAAATAGATGATTCGAACTACCTAAATTGGCATTTCCAAATGAAATTACTACTTGAAAGTAATGGAATTCTAGGGTTTGTTGATGGATCTCATCCTTGTCCTGCTTGATTTACCTCTCATTCTAGAGAATCTGATGTTAATTCGTCCAATTCATCTTCTTCCTCTGATAGTGATGAGTATTTGGTTTGGATGATGCATGATAAAGCCCTAATGCAATTACTCACTACATCTTTGAGTCCTGTAACTATGTCATGTGTGATTGCAAGTGCCAGTTCTAGGGATCTCTGGATTCGATTACAAGAGCAGTTTCTAACTGTCTCGAAGACTAGCATTTTTCAGATGAAATCAAATCTGCAAACAATTAAAAAGGGCTCTGATTCCATTACTCAGTACTTACAGAAGATAAAGGAAGCTAGAGATTATCTTTATGATGCTGGGGTTTATTTTCTTGATAAGGATATTGTTATACTTGCATTAAATGGTTTACCAGCATAGTACAATACATTTCAGACTATGATAAAGGGGTGTGAAAATGTCATTTCTTTGAAGGAATTTCGGATACAATTACTTGCTGAAGAAGCTATTCTCGAGTCCACTGTCAATACACCATTTATGACAACTATGATTGCTAATACTCCAACTTAGAGAGGGCCTCATTAAACCAGTTTTTTATCTGGTGGATTCAAGCAGTTCAATGCTAATAAGAACAAGGGCAAAGGCAGGTTCAATCAATGCACAAGAAGCTTTTCACCTCGACAGTATATACCTACTTAAACACATGTCATTCAAAGTCTAAGTCCTGGCATACTTGGTCAATTTCCAAATACACAGCAACCTATTCCCTCTACTCCACCTGAGAAGCCAAGGTGTCAAATTTGTGGGCGATTTAATCATAATACATGGTTCTGTTTTTATAATGAGAATGGTCACAATTATATTGGTGCTGGAGATCATTCTACTTATTCCATTATCCCTTCATCTCCACAACAAGGGTATCAATACTCTCAGGTTGATGCATATCCATAACAAAAGGTTCACTCACAGGTTCTTAGACATCAGTCTCAATCACAGGCTTTACTGCATGCTTACCATACTATGGTCTCACAATCAAACCTTCACATGCTTCTACATCTAACCCACAAGTGTGGATCACTGATTCAGGTGCCACAAATCATATGATTGCTAATCTCTCCAATTTATCTCTGGCATCTCCTTATCCCAATTTATCTCTGGTATCTCACATTGGTAGCACTATCTTTAAACCTTTTATATATCCTATCAAATTGAACTATGTGTTATATGTTCCTAAATTAACACAAAATCTTTTCTCAGTACATAAGAGATGTTTAGACAATAATTGTTGGCTTATCTTTGATGCCTTTTGTTTTGATTCAGCACAAGGTCATAGGAAGGATCCTATACAAAGGGTTGTGCAATAATGGACTCTATCCAATCTCTTCCCAGCCACTGTGTGTCCTGTAGCTTCTCAAAAGTACTGTCTCTAATAAAGCTCTCATTGGTCAGCTTGTTAACTTTACTATCGGGGCATAATAGATTAGGACATCCATCTAATTCTGTTGTGTCTCTAATGTTGCATAAATCTAATGTTGTTTTTTTTTCCAAAGAATCTAGTCCTAAAATGTGGCAAAGCTGTTTAGAGGGCAAATTCTGCAAGCTGCCTTTTTCTTCCAGTGTTAATAAATCTATAATTCCCTTTGAAGTGGTACACAGTGATCTTTGGGGTCCTGCACCTTGTAAATCAGTGGATGGATATAAGTACTATGTTGTCTTCATTGATGAATGTACCAGGTATTCTTGGATTTTTCCCAATGATTAATAAATCTGATCTTTGTGCCACTTTTGTTGGTTTTCATTGTTATGTTCTCATACAATTCTCTGCAAATATAAAAGTTTTGCAAAGTTATGGTGGTGGTGAATATATTAGCAAAACTCTTCAATCATTTCTTTTACAGAAAAGCATTTCCCATAAAAAAAATCTTGCCCTTACACTCTAGAACAAAATGGCAAGGCTGAACAAAAGCATAGACATCTCATTGAAACCACAGTCACATTGTTACAAACAGCCAAAATACCCTCCAAGTTTTGGTCTTTTGCATGTCAAACAACTATCTATCTTATTAATAGGATGCCTACTCCCATATTGTCTAATAAGTCTCCCTTTGAAGCCTTATATGGTGTTGTCCCAGTACTTCATCACTTGAGAACATTTGGTTGTGTCTGTTATCCTTTATTAAGACCATATAACTAAACTAAACTTTAAGCCAAGACTACAAAGTGTGTCTTCTTGGGCTATGCATCCAAATACAAAGGGTACATTTGTTACGTTGTGTCTCAAAATAAATTCTTTGTTTCTAGACATGTGGTGTTTAGTGAGAATGAATTTCCTTATATAGATTTATTGGCACAAACTAAAACAAATCTTTCTGTTCTAATAAGTTTAATGGTCTTTTTTCTTCTTATGTGGTCACATAACATAATATAGTTACCTTACCTTCTCTAGTTATCAACTCAAGTACAGTTCCTCCCTCATTTTCTCAATTCAATACTTCAAGTAACTCTGAGTCATCACCAAGTTCACCATCTGTTGTAGTGTCTTCCTCTATATCCCCACATTCATCACTCTCACCTGATTCCTAAAGTTCATCTCAGTCAATTACTGGTGCAATTTCATACACAACCTCTATCCCTGTGGCACTTGATCATAGTCCAGATACTTTACAAGTGGTTCTCTACATACCACCATTAAACTTACATCCTATGCAAACTAGGAGTAAGAATGGTATTATTAAGAAGAAGGTTTTCTTATCTACACTTGCGGACTCCAATGATATTGATCTGTTTCTGCGTGAATCATCATCATATAAATATGCTCTTAAGAGTTCAGTGTGGTCTTAAGCAATGAAGAAGGAAATTAGTGCTTTACATGATCAGGGGACATGGAGTTTAGTCTCTTTAATAGCAAATAAGAACTTAGTGGTGTGTAAATGGATTTTCAAAATCAAAAAGGCATTCAGATGGGTTAATAGCAAGGCATAAAGCCTGATTGGTTGCCAAAGGCTTTTGTTAAGAGCCTGGTCTCGATTACAGTGAAACTTTTAGCCTGGTTGTTAAACCCACCACAGTAAGGATTGTTTTAGCATTGGCTGCTAATTTCAATTGGTCACTCTATCGACTTGATGTCAAGAAAGCATTCCTCCATGGAATTCTGCAAAAGGAAGTGTACATGGCTCAACCACCTGGCTTTGAGGATCCTCAGAATCCATCTTTGGTGTGTAAATTGCATAAATCACTCTATGGATTGAAGCAGGCCCCAAGGGCATGGAATGACAAGTTCACCTCTTTTTTGCCTCAGTTGGGATTTCATAACAATTACTCTGATTCGTCATTATTTGTAAAAACTGTTGATGCAAATATTGTGATATTATTGCTTTATGTTGATGACATTATCATTACAGGCAATGATCCCACTGAGATACAACAAGTGATTAGAGACTTAACTTCTGAATTTGATATCAAAGACTTAGGTCCTCTTCACTTCTTTCTGGGAATTCAGATTTCCAAAACTGCGAATGGTTTATTTCTGTCACAACAGAAATATATGCAGGATTTGCTTGTTAAAACCAAAATGATTGAGTGAATGTCTTGTGATACACCTAGTCTCCCATACAACAAGTTACTCATGGATGATGGTGAGCCCTACTCTAATCCTACATTGTATAGAAGTGTAGTGGGAGCATTCCAATACCTCACATTTACCATGCCCGATATTTCTTTTTCTGTGCACCAAGTTTGACAATTCATGAAGAATCTAATGGTCTCCCATTTCATTGCTGTCAAAAGAATT